GCAGCATGCCAAGTGTTGTCGTGCCGTTATTGGTGCCAATGGAGGACACACTCACTATTGACAGTGGTGCTTGATTCGCAGCATGCCAAGGGTTGTCGTGCCGTTATTGGTGCCAATGGAGGACATGCTCACTATTGATTGTATTGCTGAACACACTGAAGCACTTTGAGTTTTTAGCGCCATTGGAACTTTGACTTTGTTATAGAGGGTTATTTACTTTTTATGTAATCATACACGACACGCTTGAATGAAATGGATTTAAAGTGGGACAAAATTGTTTTCCAACTGTTTGACTATTCTATTGTATTTTGCCTTTTGATAAAATAACGTAATTTTTAAGGGGTGATCGCTTACATTTTGTGTCCACTATAATATACATATAAATACCTAAAATGTTCTCTTGTGTTTTCCTGTTCTAAACTTTGTAACTTTCCATGATATTACGGGTGAAATGAAATATTTGTATTTGTATCTACGTAGGTCTGACAACTAGCACGGCGATAACCATTCAAGAGTCATACCTTTACAACAAGTGTGGTTAGCCATTTTGTTTTCCATATTCTCATTTCAACAAAAACCTATTGAATCAATAAACATTTAGTTAATCGTTTTCCTTATATTTTTCGACATTTGCTGACATCGACTCGTCTTCTGCTTTCCAAACTCTTGGTTCTAGACCGTCCGGATCGTTGTAATCAGGGACCGAATCCTCGTTGTGTATTCCTAAGTCCCCCTACAGTGACATACAGTAACAGATGTTTCGGGTACAGCAGTGCAGTAGCATCTGTTTTGTGACATATCTTACTGCCGTCTCAGAGAATAAAAAATCATGTACAATATCAATTATTATATACTCGGCGTAGTATCTTGTGAGTACGTCACTGGTGAATGACTCTTTACTCATATTGTCAGTTAAATTCAAGGAGGACGTTAAGCCCTACCTACTTTATTTGCATTTAGACTCTCGTGTGTCTATAAATTTCTACCCAAAATGTCATTGACTCATATGATAAATGTATATATTCATATGTATAATTGTAATCATATTCATATATACTTCTGTATATCTTGCAACACCGGAAGTTTTAATAATCATGTACTGTAAAACTCAGATTCTCAATATGTATATGAAGGGAAACACATTAATGTATGGATCTGAGGTTGGTGAACCCCATTTCCTTTTTTGACGTTTCTTTTGTGAGGAGATATTTTTACTTTAGTTTCATTCTACATTGTAAAGAAATTATATTGGTGAATAATACTTCAGTACTATAATTATTTAGATTTTACATTTATGATAAGAATACTCAGATTCTCAATATGAATATGAAGGGAAACACATTAATGTATGGATCTGAGGTTGGTGAACCCCATTTCCTTTTTTGACGTATCTTTTGTGAGGAGATATTTTTACTTTAGTTTCATTCTACATTGTAAAGAAATTATATTGGTGAATAATACTTCAGTACAATAATTATTTAGATTTTACATTTATGATAAGAATACGGACCTCCCTCATTTATGTTGGATTCCAAAACTTAAGAAGAATTCATAAAAACAACATTTTATTGCTGGTTTGTCTTACTGTTTTCCCAAACCTTTATCAAAGCTTCTCAGTACTATTCTAAGTACTATGCAATGAGTGTTACAGTCTTATTATGGTTATGTTTACTTAATAAGTAGAATTAATGATATGTGGATTTTACTCTGTACACTGCCATACCTCATTCTTAAAGAAAACTTTCATTCACTTGTTATGAGGGCTTTCTTTTACAAGAAATGTGAAGGGCGGTACAGATATGGTTAGGAACTTAACTGAAGCTTATCTCGGGACATGCTTCAGAATTTAAAACGAAATAATCGAATTCATGGTTGACAACATCTTCGTCAAGTATGGTAGTAAGACTTCCAAAAGACGTTTGACTTATCTATGGAAATTAACTGTGCCCCATTCGTGAGCTGACATGTTTGTCTACATCCGAAGCTTAAATTATCGAAATAGATCACAAATATCCGATTTCTTTATGAAACTGGCAGGATTTGATGCTCATAAGCTTGCCTGATCATTCCATGGTCTTACATCCTTTTTTCATTTGGGACCGTGATATTACTTACTTGGATTAATCAAGGTTTACATGGCAGGTGTCATTGATGAAGCAGAAGACGCTTACTCTTTAGGAACACCTTTCTGTTGTTCATATTTTGCAGCAATTTCGTTGAATTTCAATTTAGATTAAGATTTTGATAACATGACAGTATTTTTGTTTTGTTTTGTTTTTTTTGCAAGCGTGATTTGTCTTTAGTTCACTGCAGTGTGTATTTCTAAATATATAATTGTACGGATATAGAATTATACCTCTACCATCAAGTGTGGTGTTGTAGAGAATAGTTAAACCTCTACCGTTAAGTGTGGTGTTGTAGAGAATTTGACCTCTACCGTTAAGTGTGGTGTTGTAGAGAATTTGACCTCTACCGTTAAGTGTGGTGTGGTAGAGAATTTGACATCCACCATCAAGTGCTAAGGAAATAGAATTAGAACTCTACCACTAAGTGTGATGAGGTATCATTATAAGCACTATTAATTCTGGGTTACAGTCTTATTGTGATACTCTAGAAGGTTAAAGTATAATATAGTATAGTATAGTATAGTATAGTATAGTATAGTATAGTATAGTATAGTATAGTATAGTATAGTATAGTATAGTATAGTATAGTATTGTATAGTATAGTATAGTATAGTATAGTATAGTATAGTATAATTCAAAGAGGTTTTATCCGGTCTTTCAACCCCATCTTAAAAAATCTCCTCTATAAACCGTTTGTTTTCTGCCCTGTACACCAACATGCCCTTTTTTTAAACTGAAAAACACCTCCGATCGCTTGTAACGAGAGCTTTGCTTTCCAATAAAGGTATTGAAAAAATTGAGCAACTTTCTGGTTGACACCATCTTAGTCAAGGTTTTTGGTAAGATCTCCCGACTGTTTAGTTAGATCTCCCGACTGTTTAGTTAGCTCTCCCGACTGTTTGGAAAGATCTCCCGACTGTTTGGTAAGACCTCCCGACTGTTTGGTAAGACCTCCCGACTGTTTGGTAAGATCTCCCGACTGTTTGCATACCTTTGGGAGCTTATTGCGCCCCTTTGCTGGTTGACTTAGTTTTGTTTTCATACGAGGTTGGATTTATTGACGATCTTATCAAAACAGGTCACATAGATCTTGCAAATTCGTTTAATTTCACTTTCAGATTTATTGATCATGTCTTGTCTTTAAATAAGAAATGTTTTGTTAACCACTTCTACAGCCTATATGGTTTACATTTATTCAAGAGCCCGACTCGATTGTTACGATTTTCGTGCAAGAAGTCGTCAACTGATAGACAAACTTGTAACAAAGGATTTCAAAACATCCAGGCTGATAAAAAAAGGTTTCACTGTCGTTGTGGTGATCTCATTGAGAAATATCCTACTTCTTTTGGCGATATGACGGTGACCGTTTTTGATGCTCATTAGTTTGCCTGTTGGTTCCGTTTTTGTATACCTTGTTCTAAACCTGACATTTCTTGGAATGATTGACATGGCAGATGTCGTCAATGAAACAGAAGACGCTTACTATTCCGGAGCACATGGTTTATTCTCCTTTAATCAGGAGACTCCATGTACATTTTTCTTTTGTAATGCTTTGTGATATAATGTGTGTTCTAAAATATTTACGTCCGTTGTATCAGCATTATACTTAAGTAATTATTCCGTTGTTGTGTAAATAAGAGTTACCTGTAGTCGTTTGTCCGTATTGTCTTGTATTTTACACAAAATATAAGTTTGACGTCACTCGGTGACCAATCATTCGGATGTTCTATTCGTATTGAAGCGTAGCCATGGGTATCATACCTATAGTGTTAAGCGGGAGTACGACCTTATTGGTTAGGTTACATTACGGGTACATACGGTTGAGGTATTGATGTATCCTCCTGAACTCTCGCACGCTATAGACCCCCTGTGACTTTTCGTAAAAGGAGTGTGCGTGCTAACGCCGGTTCAGGGGTCTAGGGATAGTGTCAGACTGCAATTATTTTTAAGACATTAGATGGACTTCAAAATTACAATAAAAACAAACAATTCCAGATAGGCCACTAACTCTTTCTTTCAGCTTTTGGACACATCGCCAGACCACTCTCTGTTCAGGTGGAGTCAGATTGAACGGATGTTCCAGATGGTTAGCAATATGTAGTGTTACTCAGTGAGGAAAAACGTACTTCGCCAAAATATGGGGTTGCCGTATGATAGCAGTACAGGGGAACGGACGCCGGGAAGTTGTTCGCGCGGACGACGAGATGTTGTTGGCGTAAGGGGTCGCGCGGACGCCGGGAAGTTTTTGGCGTAAGGGGTCGTGCAGACGCCGAGAAGTTGATGGCGTAATGAGTCGCGCGGACGCTGGGAAGTTGTTGGCGTTAGGAGTCGCGCGGGCGTCGTGAAGTTGCCAAGGGTCCTAGGGACGTACTGTGGCACAATCGAACGTAAGCAATGGCGACGTGGGTTCTTCCTCACTGTATTACCCTTAGTTCTGCTAGAAATTATTATTGTTATTGACGCCGGCGTAACGCCAACTAACGTCCGTGTTCGCCAGCAAATGTAAATGTAATCAAATCCCACATGTACAAACATTTGTTGTTGTTATTTTTTACGAACAAGCTACGACTACTAAGTACGCCAACTTGGCAGGATGACGCCTTAAGGTGCTACAGCAGACCTGACAAAAGACTTACCGGAAAGAGGAGACAATCCATTTTACGTCTGTGCTTATTTTGTCCTAGTTTTATTGGATTTGAGCTTGGATTACGATGATGGTATTTTCTTGTTGTTTTTTTCTACCATCAAGTGAGATGGAGGTATATAAATTAATGTAGAGATGAACCGTACACTTTGTAGAGAAAAATATATCACAACTTTGTCATGAGATCAATATCACATCTTTGTAATGAGACCTATTTCACTATTAAAATACTACAAACTTATTCCTCTGTTTATAAGTGGTAGAAAATTCAATGTGTCTCCTCGTGTTCGATGGTCTATGATATGATATTCAAACTTTCTACCAAGATGGATTATGCCTATGGCTCGTATTCTGTATCGAATGTTCTTGGTTGTTTCACTGTCAAAACTGTGTGTCGTTAGTTTGTCCGGTTTTGACTTGCATCGCTGGATAACTTTGTCACATAAAAGGTAAGGACTTCCGCCGCAGTCGGGACACGTAGGAGGCGGGCGATAGTGAGTAAGACTTTCGAGATGGTCGCTGTAGCCGTATATATTAGGAAGATTACCAAACGGAATCATTGTAGCGTAAGGGTCATGTGACACTGGCCCTTTACATGGATAGTCGAATTTTGGATCTGTCTTTCCTATTTTTCGCATTTTGTCTCTCAACTTGCTCCAAATATAATCTACAAAGCTGTGGTGAAGGAAGAATATTGGATCCTGAGGGGCTGTCTCCAGACTGGACATCTGACCATCCACCCAGCGGTGTGGCCCTACATGAATATCTTCTATGGTATTAATTGATGGTTCCACTGCAAGACTATGCTGCGTGTAGCGTAATAATGTTTCCACCATGTCAGACGACACAAGGCTTCCATTGTTCCCAATGTTTCGAACTAGCGATTCATTTTCTGGTGTTATCCAATTGGCGAATGGGCCCGAATCTTCTATCCCGAAACCAGGCCCGAAGAACTCAGATGTCCACAGCACTGAGTCCGTAGGGTTAGTCATGTCGTAGTCCATCCGACTATCCCAGTAGGGTATGGGGACTCCGAGGGCTGCCTCCAATCTAAAATAACAGGGAGTTAAATTAAATACAAAACAAAATATTGAGACAATTTTGCCTCTCTTCAGTGTTTATCTTTATAAAGGGAGGTAACTCTCTTCGGAGCTTTTATTTGCATTTGGAGATAATTATTGTCAGTGTAGTTATATGGGGAGATAACTCTGCTCAGTATACTTACAGCAGAAGATACACTCTATGCCAGCCAAGGAAACCAGGTCCCCCGTGTGATGCGTGAATTGTTATATTTTCTCTGTGTAGATCGGAAATGATGTCATATGGTACAAAGGTCCCATGTCCTTGTACAGGCTATGTAAAAATGACAGAAAATAAAAAAAAAAACATTATTTTTGTTTTAAAAAAAATATGAAGACAAGGGATGAAACATAGGGAGATGCGGTATAAGTTCACAGAAACAATGTATATAGCAAACAAAAGCGAGACATCTTTAGAAATCGGACAAAGTTGTAAGTGTAAGTTCTCATTTTCTGTGCTATCTTCATATAATGTGCCTTGCGTCCTTGACAGGTCCACCTACAGTCTAGAAATATCCATGACATCTAATTAGTGTTAAATTTACATCATTTTATTTTATTTTGTTCATTTTTAAATATGTTATTTTTCAACACAAATTAAAAAAGCAATATAAAAGAGGTTAGTTATTTGTACTTAAGGAAAACCATTTAATCATTTATTTTAAGGACTATACGTAGGAAAAAAGGAGTTTCTAACCTAAGTCTTACAGTCCCTTCGCTCATCTAAGACTCATGAAATAGAAGACAGAGAAATATCAAAACTAATCAATATCAAAAAAAAAAAAAAAAAAGGTCAAAATTCCAAATCTGATAAATCAATGATGTTATTTATTTATGTATCTTTTGTACAACATTCGTAAAATAAAGGTTTTATTCATTCGTGTGTCCTTTGTTTATTTATTGTATAGACAGGTGTTATTTACCTGTGTGTCGTCTGTACAATCATTGTATAGACAGGTGTTATTTACATGTGTGTCGTCTGTACAATCATTGTATAGACAGGTGTTATTTACCTGTGTGTCGTCTGTACAATCGTTTTATTGACAGGTGTTATTTACCTGTGGGTCATCTGTACAATCATTGTATAGACAGGTGTTATTTACCTGTGTGTCGTCTGTACAATCATTGTATAAACAGGTGCTATTTACCTGTGTGTCGTCTGTACAATCATTGTATAGACAGGTGCTACTTATCTGTGTGTCGTCTGTACAATCATTGTATAGACAGGTGTTATTTACTTGTTTGTCGTCTGTGCAATCATTGTATAGACAGGTGTTATTTACCTGTGTGTCGTCTGTACAATCGTTGTATTGACAGGTGTTATTTACCTGTGGGTCGTCTGTACAATCATTGTATAGACAGGTGTTATTTACCTGTGTGTCGTCTGTACAATCATTGTATATACAGGTGTTATTTACCTGTGTGTCGTCTGTACAATCATTGTATTGACAGGTGTTATTTAGCTGTGTGTCGTCTGTACAATCATTGTATATACAGGTGTTATTTCCTTGTGTCGTCTGAACAATCATTGTATAGACAGGTGCTATTTATCTGTGTGTCGTCTGTACAATCATTGTATAGACAGGTGTTATTAACCTGTGTGTCGTCTGTATAATCATTGTATAGACATGTGTTCATTATCTGTGTGTCGTCTGTACAATCATTGTATAGACAGGTGCTATTTACCTGTGTGTCGTCTGTACAATCATTGTATAGACAGATGCTATTTCCTTGTGTCGTCTGTACAATCTGTTTAGACAGGTGTTATTTACCTGTGTGTCGTCTGTACAATCATTGTATAGACAGGTGTTATTTACCTGTGTGTCGTCTGTACAATCATTGTATAGACAGGTGCTATTTACTGGTGTGGTTTCTCTACAATCGTTGTTTACATCGAAAGAAAAGTCAAAATCTAGAAGGAAAGGTGCATTACCTTGATTATTCTATAAACCTTATTTTTTTCAAATAAATTATAATTTTCATACATCTGATAATTTTCATACATCTGATACTTTTAGAACAATGTTAAGCACAAATGTACATTCTGATCCGTCTATTACTTACTATTGCCTCCTTTAGAATATTAAGTCTGTTTACAAATCGCTTCCATTCAGTTCTAGACATCATCCGTACTTCTTTTCTCTCCCAACTACAGCGCCGAATATTTGTCGATGTTTTTATCCCACTTTCTCTCTTTCTCTTGCATTTTCCTTTTTGTTTTTTTCTTCCATTTTTCTTTCTGAAACATTTTTCTTTCATTGTCGTTTTCGTTCTTTCTCTTTTTCCATTTGTCTTTTCCGCTTTTGTAGAAAGCAGTCGTCCATTTTTGATGCTACACCTGTTATCATTGTTTGTGATCCAGTGTCGCCATTCGTCGGAACCATACCCCTCACATCGTGACAACGCCTTCCACAGAAGTTCCTGAACATAAGCATGTAATGCATGTGTCGGGGAAGAGTCCAATGCCAATCGATACAAATGTTGGTGAAAACAATACAAGCTGTCATCCTTTTCGGTTATTTCGAAATTGCCATGGCTACCACGATATTGTTGGCACTTCCGGTTTCGACCGGAGGTATGTTGATGCAGTCCCCTGATCAGGATACTTCCGGTTACAAGAGCTAATATCGAGCTGGTAATTAACTGAAACATGAACATTAATATTTAGTGATAATGATGCACTGAGTAATGAAAATGCTGGGAATTGTATGTAAAACTATCATATATAACGTTGGTTGAAGCCATGGTCACTACCGTGACTGAGAAACTCATCTCTGTATGAAATTAAGTTAATTCTAATAGAATGACTGTGGGTCTCCTTGTGTGATATAAAGTTAGATGTGTTCGATGCCAGAAACAATGACTGTTGGTCACGTTGTGTGATATAAAGTTAGATGTGTTCGATGCCAGAAACAATGACTGTTGGTCACGTTGTGTGATATAAAGTTAGATGTGTTCGATGGCAGGTAGAATGACTGGTGATCTCGTTGTGTGATATAAAGTTAGATGTGTTCGATGGCAGGTAGAATGACTGTTGGTCACGTTGTGTGATATAAAGTTAGATGTGTTCGATGGCAGGTAGAATGACTGGTGATCTCGTTGTGTGATATAAAGTTAGATGTGTTCGATGTCAGGTAGAATGACTGTTGGTCACGTTGTGTGATATAAAGTTAGATGTGTTCGATGTCAGGTAGAATGACTGGTGGTCTCCTTGTGTGATATAAAGTTAGATGTGTTCGATGTCAGGTAGAATGACTGGTGATCTCGTTGTGTGATATAAAGTTAGATGTGTTCGATGGCAGGTAGAATGACTGGTGATCTCGTTGTGTGATATAAAGTTAGATGTGTTCGATGCCAGAAACAATGACTGTTGGTCACGTTGTGTGATATAAAGTTAGATGTGTTCGATGTCAGGTAGAATGACTGGTGATCTCGTTGTGTGATATAAAGTTAGATGTGTTCGATGGCAGGTAGAATGACTGTGGGTCTCCTTGTGTGATATAAAGTTAGATGTGTTCGATGCCAGAAACAATGACTGTTGGTCACGTTGTGTGATATAAAGTTAGATGTGTTCGATGTCAGGTAGAATGACTGGTGATCTCGTTGTGTGATATAAAGTTAGATGTGTTCGATGGCAGGTAGAATGACTGGTGATCTCGTTGTGTGATATAAAGTTAGATGTGTTCGATGGCAGGTAGAATGACTGTTGGTCACGTTGTGTGATATAAAGTTAGATGTGTTCGATGTCAGGTAGAATGACTGGTGATCTCGTTGTGTGATATAAAGTTAGATGTGTTCGATGGCAGGTAGAATGACTGGTGATCTCGTTGTGTGATATAAAGTTAGATGTGTTCGATGCCAGGTAGAATGACTGGTGATCTCGTTGTGTGATATAAAGTTAGATGCGTTCGATGTCAGGTAGAATGACCGATCGTCTCCTTGTGTGATATAAAGTTAGATGTGTTCGATGTCAGGTAGAATGACTGGTGATCTCGTTGTGTGATATAAAGTTAGATGTGTTCGATGTCAGCTAGAATGACTGGTGGTTTCGTTGTGTGATATAAAGTTAGATGTGTTCGATGCCAGGTAGAATGACTGGTGGTCTCGTTGTGTGATATAAAGTTAGATGTGTTCGATGGCAGGTAGAATGACTGGTGATCTCGTTGTGTGATATAAAGTTAGATGTGTTCGATGGCAGGTAGAATGACTGTTGGTCACGTTGTGTGATATAAAGTTAGATGTGTTCGATGTCAGGTAGAATGACTGGTGATCTCGTTGTGTGATATAAAGTTAGATGTGTTCGATGCCAGGTAGAATGACTGGTGATCTCGTTGTGTGATATAAAGTTAGATGCGTTCGATGTCAGGAAGAATGACCGATCGTCTCCTTGTGTGATATAAAGTTAGATGTGTTCGATGTCAGGTAGAATGACTGGTGGTTTCGTTGTGTGATATAAAGTTAGATGTGTTCGATGCCAGGTAGAATGACTGGTGGTCTCGTTGTGTGATATAAAGTTAGATGTGTTCGATGTCAGGTAGAATGACTGGTGATCTCGTTGTGTGATATAAAGTTAGATGTGTTCGATGCCAGGTAGAATGACTGGTGGTCTCGTTGTGTGATATAAAGTTAGATGTGTTCGATGTCAGGTAGAATGACTGGTGGTCACGTTGTGTGATATAAAGTTAGATGTGTTCGATGGCAGGTAGAATGACTGGTGATCTCGTTGTGTGATATAAAGTTAGATGTGTTCGATGCCAGGTAGAATGACTGGTGGTCACGTTGTGTGATATAAAGTTAGATGTGTTCGATGTCAGGTAGAATGACTGGTGGTCTCGTTGTGTGATATAAAGTTAGATGTGTTCGATGTCAGGTAGAATGACTGGTGATCTCGTTGTGTGATATAAAGTTAGATGTGTTCGATGCCAGGTAGAATGACTGGTGGTCTCGTTGTGTGATATAAAGTTAGATGTGTTCGATGTCAGGTAGAATGACTGGTGGTCACGTTGTGTGATATAAAGTTAGATGTGTTCGATGGCAGGTAGAATGACTGGTGATCTCGTTGTGTGATATAAAGTTAGATGTGTTCGATGCCAGGTAGAATGACTGGTGGTCTCGTTGTGTGATATAATATATATGTTCTTATTTGGGAAAGTGACATTTCTTTGCGGGTGTCGTCGATTGTGATTTACCATTCCATAACACATTGTTTTATCATCCTACTGTTTCATCAATGGTCTCCAGAAATCTTCTTTTGGTCTTATTTTGCCTTCGTTAATAGATTTGGAGTTTGAATGTTTCGATTTTGTTTAAAAGCTGTCATTCTCCAATGGTGTTCGGTTAGATATATGTGCAATTGATGTGTTTTCACGAAGTTATAGTGCTGTAGAAGGATATGAAATGTTAATGAATTGTTGACCTTTAACCTATTGATGAAAGTATCACGTGAATATTATTGATTTATTTTAAATCTTAATCGAAAGAAGAAAATTGTCTTAAAATATCAGATTTACGAAAATTACAAAGACTGTACAAAAAGACACACACGTGAATAACAACTTTAAATTGTTTAGTTAGATGCAGTAGAGACAAACAATGGATTAAACGCATTATACAGCTTTTTTCGTCCTTCCATGACACGTCAGTGATGCTAAGGGCCTATTTTTTAAAGCCTAGGAGGAGACTGAAGAAAATCCAGATTGATTGAAAGAAAAGTAAAAATCTAGATGGGGAGGTGCAGCAGCCCCATGATAAGATATTGAATATTTAATTATGGGGCTAGTACACTTTCTGATCTACACTTTGACATATGTTTTAATTACATTGAACTTCCTCAATCCTGATGCTTTAAAAGCTAGGCTCTTATTGTCAACTTAATAACATTGTTTTGTTTATGGTAATACTTCATTACATTCACTTTATTGTAATCAGTTGAAAAATAAATACATCATACGACGTGCATTGTAATTTAAACGGAATTATTACAATAATATTTACCTTAATGCAGAAATCATTGCAATAAGATCTACCTTAATACAGAATTATTACAATATGATCTACCTTAATGTAGAAATCGTTACAATAAGATTTACCTTAATGTAGAAATCATAACAATAAGATTTACCTTAATGTAGAAATTATTACAATAAGATTTACCTTAATGCAGAAAACATTGCAATAAGATCTACCTTAATGTAGAAATTATTACAATAAGATTTACCTTAATGCAGAAATCATTGCAATAAGATTTACCTTAATGCAGAAATTATTACAATAAGTTTTCAAGCACGGATTTTTGATATGCATTGTGATTATGTTATGAATCACATCATTCTTTGAAATGAAGTCCACTTAGGGGATGGTGAAGATATAGCTTTGGGAAGGCACGCATACGCACAGGTAATAATGATATCTTAAATGTTAGGTCTTAATGTCAAAGTTTTTAAATTCTCAGACAAATTCAGACCACGATTAATCAATGACTAAGTGTTTGTAGCGTATTTAAAAGTTGTTCATCACAAAATTCTCTTGATTGTTCACAGAAATATGTAGCTATTTGACAGACTTGTCATTGGGTTATTTTCCCTTAACACTTAGATGAGACATGTGTGGAATGACCTGCTCGCGAAAATAAAAGGGGCTTCAGACGGGAGGAATTATTTAATTATGTCATATTTTTATCTGTGTCAGTCTCTTCTTTGACCAATGAATAACGTCAAAACTGATATGTATCTCGGAATCACCGCCACGTTTATTTGTAATATTTTAGCATCTAAGATCAAATGAAATTAATTTAATAGTTGCTAGTAAACGCTTTTGACTGTTCTTCATCTCTTAAAACAATAAACGAGATGTTAATTGGCCCCAAGGTAGGTAGAATACTTAGTATCCACTACAACGACCCAATAAATGTCATTACTATGAGATAGCTTAGTGTGAATTGTGGAAATATCAAAAGCGGGACAAGAGGAGGGAACGTGAACTAGTTAATATTTCGTAAACATGTACCTTTCTAAAAAAATGACAGAATGTAGCTATTAGTTTGAGATGTAATCTTAATACAAACTAACATAAGACAATGACAAAATACCAAAATGTCAAAATATCCCTATTCTAAAGTCAAATTCAATATAACGAGGGCAAATATGAGGAAACAAATTTACACGGCGACTCATAAAAAATGTACTAGAACAAGACCAGGTGTTTCGGAAGAGTAAGCGTCTGTGGCTTCATCGCCGACAACCGCCATGGTCAATCGATGTTAGTAATGAGGACAAGGTATACAAGAACGAAACCAAAGTTGTTAAGTAACCAGATCAAAGGGCAAGGCAATTTGAACAATTATAGACAGTATTGGAGCCAATGTAAAATTTTAAAAGGATATTTACTACTGCCAGTACAGCTATAGAAATATAAATGTTGTGTGAACCTCTCAGGACCAATAGAGATGGTGAACACGATGGTATCGTTTGCGAACATCTGAAGTATGATAGTAATAAAGTGTTTGAATATATTTCAAGTTTATTCAATATGAGAAATGGTAGTAAATATATCCCAAAATAATGGGAAAAGAATGATAATTATCAGGGCAAATCAAAATACGACCCGGATAGTTTTCAGGGTATTGCTCTCTTATTGATATCATTTAAAGTTATTTTAAAAGACTATATAGTAGAATAATCTCATTTAAATATTCAGACACTTTTCCAAACAGACAAGTTTGCTTATCCAAATATCATTTGCAGTCTTTTTACATATTTTAGGATTGTTAAAAAACAACCAAGTGAATACAAAACAGAAGCTCGATACAATTGAGACAAACAATGAATTACGCTACGTCATACAACTGATATAAAGATGTGTGAATTGTAATAAAGAAAATATTTTAAATGTTTTTATCTCTTTTTTGGACAGTAATAAGGCATCTAACATGATATGGCACGCCGGTCTATTCTTCAAAATAAAGGAAATGAAACTGAAAGATAAGATATACGTTTTTCTCAGGATGTGGAAAGTAACCTTTCCTTTAGTGGTTTTACTTCAAAAAGTTTTAAGTTTTTAAGATGGAGAGAGGAGTTTTACCAGGTGATCAATAAAAAATTATATTTGTTTTAGTAGCGAATTATCAAATGACATGACAAAAAATGCGGTAAATGTAAAACTGAATTATTTTCTGATAAAATTACTTTACATGATATACAAAATATTATTCTATAGAAATGTGTCTGTTGAAGTAGTAGTTGAAGAAGTTTAACATGTCAAAATATTTCTTAATTATGATAATGATTATCAAAATTATTGTAATAATTTATATATCATTATATTGGGCTTTACTTTATAACATAAATTTCCAAACATTAATACAATGAGGTAAATAAAAATTTACAATAAGAAACGTGAAAAATAAGAAATATTAAGAAAATATGAAAAGGTATCATCACTGTGTTTTGTTGAAATGTTTTCTCCGTAATGAATGTTTCATATTAATAATTTCTTATAATACTGTCACACTCATCGAAAAATACAATTAATATATTGCCACACTCATCGAAAAATACTATTAATACAATGTCATACTCATCGCACAATTCAATTAATACAATGTTACTATCATTATTAATACAATCAATACGATGTTACATACATTGTTCAGGACAATCAATACAACCTTACACTCGTCGTACAATAATACATTGTAATGATACATTGTACAGTATTACAAGTGATAATTAACACACAAATATTCCAGTATATCAGAATGTAGTAAATCATATTGTTATCTCTCACAGCAAGTTTGGATAAATATGTATTACAAAATATCCAGTGAGTATTTCATGTCATGTATAAGTGTTATCATTAAACGTGTGTATTTATCTGGTTTGAGGATAAACAGATATCAGTTTGATATAATTATCTGATACTGATAGATTTCATTTTACTTTATAGACAGATAAATAAGCATTTTAATAATAAGGTGTCGCTTTGGTATATTTAGTGTTTTAAAATGCTATTAAATCTGATCGATATTGAAATGAAGATATTGAGTCTAATTGATCATTCATGGTCAAAATTCATGTCGTAATGGCTTGCAACATTAATCTTTTATTCAGAAAGACATATTCTGTGTAAAATCAAAGCAACAAATTATAGGCTAAATATTGGAACTGAAAGATGAAATAAAACCTAACGTCAAAACAAAATTAGTAGATATTTTACTTACCAGGAAATATGGGATAGATTTAACTTGATAGAAGTTATGAATTCCAGTGATATTAGGACATCAAATAGCTATGAACAGATCAGAATAATTTTATCAATATTTGTCTACTATGAGATGCTGTGAAATGAAGTAACGGCACAATATGACAACATATGGTATCGTACATGAAATATGAAATGGTGTAAATGCTTTCTCCTTTTTATGGTTAAACAGAGTAAAATACATAAATAAAATAATGTAGATCAAATCTGGATTTTTTTAAAAATCATGCGAGTAATTTATATCAAGTAATCGAACTATTTTCATAATATCAATTAACATTGAGGAATTATTTATTCATTTGAAATCTGATAAATATGATATTTAGAAAATGCATTTTTTCAATATTCATATTTTACAAAAAGTATCATAAACATTAGTTCTCAAAATAGAAAATAAAAGTTTAAAGTAATATCAGAACCTCGGGTAACGATTTTACAGGTACATTTATCTGATGAAATTAAAACTAGTTACGAAAAGCGTTGACAGGTCCATCACACGAAGTATTCTAACACTGATGAATATCTAAGACGTGGGGTTTCGATGATGCCGGGTATCTCTCTGAACGCCAACGTTTTATTAAAGCGTCACACATTTTAAAACAGAATTAAAGTGCATCAATCAATTAACTAATATGATGAAATTAAAATGCCCAGCCGTGATAGAATTAAGACTGACGAGACACTTTATAAGACCACAGGTAGGCCGAGCCATCTTTTTTCGTCAAAACTTTATCTTATCCGCTTGTATTAACTTGATTTCTATAAACCAATTTCTTTCGTAAAACCTGCAAAATTTCAATAAAGTTTGACGACTAGTTTCAGTCAAACCGGTAAAACAATCATGAAGAAAGTTTATGGACAGAAATTTCACATTAAGTATAACAATATTTGAAATTTTCAAATTAGGATAACTTTTCAGACAAGACGATTATATTGTCCATGTTTTCATAGTTATCCTGAATTAGTCAAGATAACTACTACATCTAACTTCACTTACGTATGATATTGACGATTTTCGTAATATTTGGAGATAACAATACACTACGCTTATTGTACTAATTTATAAATGTATTACAATAAGGCTAGTTTTAATATAATGCAATAAGCAGTTATATCAGTAAGGGTTGCAACAAGCCCTTGGCATCAAGGAAGAGTCAAAGAAGAATGAAACGTAAGTATGATGCAGTTTAAATTATTAATTAGGTCTATTGCATCTAATTCTAAATTGATAATAAATGTTGTTATTCACTTGTGTGTCTTCTGTACAATAATCGGAAGTTTAAATATGAAATGAAAAATTATTCGGTAAGAATGATCGAAATCCACACACAAAGAAAATAACACGTGATTGGAGTAATCAATCAAAACAGATCGTTTTAAAGACGTTGATATTTGACACTAAACCTCTTTCATCCTTTAAATTGTATTTTTTTAAACAAATACAGAGATATGTAGACCTGTTGAAAGATGTTTAGTCTTACCTGCATCGTGGTGTAAGTATCGTGGAGCTTTTCATCAGACTAGTTAGTAGTGTTACATCATTTAGGTGAATTGTCCGGGCCACAAAACAGCTCATTGTATATTTAGATGTTCCTAGCTTGACAGCACCATACACCTCACCACTGTATCGACTCGTGTGATAGACACAGGACCTTTCTCAATATGTAAAGAATACACCTTGCAGTGCTGTCAACTAGTCAGTCATAAACAGAATGACACAAGGGTACAGCTTCTAATTTAAAATTAATTCTTGTCATTTATACACAGTAATGTATTTTAACCATTATATAAACAGAATGCAATTACAAATGTGAACTACGATATCAAGAAGGTGCTTTATCAAGTTCCCCTCCATCAAGAAATAGGAGTGTTATGATAGTTGTTGGTAAATAAAAATCCCATAAAGTTAAAGGCCTGGGGCCATACAGCTAATGCTGCATATCGTATGTCTTCAAACAAACAACCTACGACGAGCACTGGGAACACCTGGAATAGAAACAAGCGATCCCATGCAAATATAAAAATGCAGCCACACACCAATCAATTATCGCCACACACCAATCAAATATTGCTACACAGCAATCAATTATCGCCACACACAAATCAAATATTGCTACACACCAATCAAATATCGGTACACATCCGACAAATATCGGAACACATCAATCAAATATTACTACACACCAATCATTTATCGCCACACACAAATCAAATATTGCTACACACCAATCAATTATCGCCACACACCAATCAAATATTGCTACACAGCAATCAAATATAGCTACACATCAATCAAATATTGCTACACACCAATCAAATATAGCTACACATCAATCAAATATTTCTACACACCAATCAAATATTGCTACACACAAATCAAATATTGCTACACATCAGAAAAATCTCGCCACACATCTGACAAATATCGGCACACATCTGACAAATATCGGCACACATAAGACAAACATCAGAACACATCAGACAAATATCAGAACACATCAATCAATTATCGGAACACATCAGACAAATATCAGAACACATCAATCAATTATCGGAACACATCAGACAAATATTTCTACATGTCAATTAAATATCATATTTATCAGCTTTTCATTCGTGTTTTTGATATTCACGAATATAATACATATGCTAGACGATATATTCACAAAGTGGAGATATATACGTTTAATGGATCAAAATGTATATTATATTGTATATGTAAAAAGTATGCACTAGTTAGAAGTCGATGGAATACAGTATTTGCATTTGTTAATATTTCATTAGTGGACCAAATGATAGTATACAATTTACAGTTCAACAACTAGACAGTTTCTACTATGTATACAAAAGGTAGCTCTTTGGTCTTGGATATTAAAAACATACGATGATGGAGACGGCGTGGGTGATTACAAATGTTGTCAGCTGAATCATACTCTGTATGGAAATTTTACAGGTAGCATCTGATTAAATATATTGTAGCTGTACTGA